GTATCCATGATTATCACTAAATGTTATATCTAATGTCTAATACAGTATGATAAATGTATTTTACAATGACTATGATAATGATCTATCATTATTATTATATGTACACTGAGAATTCAGGTCATAGTTGTCCCGTGGTTGTCCCAAAGGTGTTTTTTTCAGGAGGCAACTGGACTTTCTTGTTTTTTCTTTTGAAGATGTTTCACTTCTCATCCAAGAAGCTTCTTCAGCTCTACAGTCTTTTAGCTATACAATTTCAAAGGCTATACACCCCCTGAATGGTGTGGGAATAGGAATGGGTTTCTAGAGGAAAAAATGCAGACTACAGGAACCAGGAGCGCTACTCAGGTGACTCTGAGAACACAGATAAACTCCAAGTGCATCCTCTAGAAGGATGCAGATTGCCAGCTGTCTGCAAGGAATATAAAACCTTCCATTCTCCACTATCCTGTCAGAACTAAAGAAGCTTTTTGGGCGAGAAGTGAAAAGTCTTCAAAAGAAAAAACAAGAAAATCCAGTTGCCTCCTGAAAAAGCACCTTTGGGATGTACACTGAGAGTTTATGCACGGGAGACAAATTCCTTGTGTGTCTAATCACACTTGGCCAATAAAAAATTCTATAAAGATTGGTAAAATGCTCTATGCTCAATTTGTCTATTTAAATAACTTAGAATATATGGCTGCCTATCTCACATAATGATCTTAAGTGGTTCACAACAACCAATAAAACGGGTTAAAACTGAACAGCTTTTCCCATCAGGTATCAGATTAATTCGAACTTGAATTTCCTGCCTCCAGTCCAATCCTGTCTCAATGTTTGAGGGAAGAGCCAGGCTTTCATGGCCTCTTGAAAGATTAAAGGGCTAGTGGCCATTCAAATCTTTGGTGGGAGGCTACTGCAAAGGGCAGAGGCAGCTACAAAGAAGGCACACTTCTGAAGCCTTATTAGATGACAAAATGTATGGAAAGGATCCTAGAGCATGTCCACCCTATGTGACATAAATGGAATGGGTAGATGGGGAGAGGAAGTCCTGAAAAATAACGAGGGCCTCTGCCATGTAGAGTTTTAAAGATGATAGACAGACCTTTAATTACAAAAGCCATTGGAAGCCAGCGTAGTTCAGAAAACTACATTTGGTATCTTCCACTGCAGCTTCCAGATTATCTTCAAGTGAGCCAATGTAGAGCTCATTGTAGTAATTCGTTTGGGATTGTTTATCAATGTTCTTTCACCAGAAATGAGATGTATTTACAGGTATAAAAAGTTTTTAAAATCAATAAAAGTTTCCATTACAAAAACAATTTTGTATTTTTATCAGCAAGGACATCAGCAGAGCCTCCAGGAGTTAAATTTAGTTCAAGAAAGACCCTGTCTATCTTAATCCACTTGAGTATAGTATATTTACATACACAAACATACACTCTTGCATTCATGCACACACACATAGAAACACACACTATTTATTAAGTTTGCAATAGAGAAATTCAAGAGCTTTCTCTCTCATAATATTGTAGAAATGTATATTCAGTAAAATTGAAGTCTTAAGTTAAGACCTGATAGAAGGAAGTATATATAATACATAATTAAGGGTTTTACTGCTGAAAAATTCATTATGGACATTTGCCTAAAAGCAAAAAATAACAAGATAGATATGATAAGTTAGTTACCAGTGGCTGTTAGGCAGCCACATTGCATCCATTAATGTTGCAAGGGTAATGGAGCAGGTTTCGGGCATTCCACTAGATACTGGGTGGCATGGATGCTGCACCAGACACCATGAATGACTTCATTCTCCATCATACACAATGATATAATTGGTGGTCTGCCACCAAAGTGTTCAATCGGAGCTCTAGGAAGGGTGCCAAGAACTGCAGTTATGTAATTATTTCCCGTAACGCTTATGAACTAAGGAGGCACATTATGAAAGCCTAGTTGTCATAAAGCTATGTGACCTAGTTGTTACATAGAAATACCATTGCTTTATGTCTTGTTGGATGATTTCCAAAGAATATTTGCCCAGAACAGTGAGATCTTGGATTCATGGTCCTTGGTTCTAACATGGAAGGTCCCTTTGAACATTTAAGCACCAGTAATCGATGTGACAACACTGCTGATTGCTGATCATTTTTACAATGTATAGCACTATTTACAGAAAATTCCTCAAGGGAGATGCTATCCCATTAGCCTGATACCGGATAGCATTTTAAACATTTGCATGCAAATATTCAACTATTGACATCCCGCATCTTTAACTAGATAGGATTGAACTACAGTGTGAATGTGACAATTTAAACTGATAAAACAATGGCTGTTCAAGCAACTAGACCAATGTTTTCCAACCTCCTGAAATGGCCTCCCAACTTTAGAATTCTCCAGATGGCATAGCCATTGCTGAGAATTCTGGGAATTGAAGTCTTCCGTCTTGGAAACTGCCAACTTTAGAAACATGGAACAAGGCAAGCCAAACCAGCTGTCAATCCTATACACAGTGCTGTGTTTAGCCAGCCCACTGGAATGTCTGGGGAACTGAATGGAATGATGCTTTCCTCCACTGATTGAATTTAGAAAAATATGTAACTCTGTCTGTTAATAAATTGCAGGCACTCCAAAAGAGGCTGTGAAATCAGGGTTGCAAGCGAACCACACAATTGGTTAATGAAGATTTTGAGGAAAACATTCAATTGCCAGATTGCTTCCAAGGTGTCTTAGCAATTGGGGTAGTGGGTGGCCTTAGAAATTGGATGGATTTAAAATCCATTGTTTTTTTTCCCCTTTGCTTTGTCATGAATACTTTTTTGTGCACATGATTGGAAAACATGAGCAGGAAGAATCTGAGAATTGTGAATATTACGAAGGAATGGAGGTATACAATTCTGCAGGCAAGACAAAGCAATTCCATTAAAAAGCTTGTCTGGAAGCACTGACTTTCATCGTGTCCTTTTATAAAGCTCCTTTGCATAAAAATTTCACAGGAAGAAGCTGTTCTAAAAATAGGTGAGCACCCCTAAATTTTGCAATTTAAAACCAATTGAACTTAAGAACATTGGCATATGAATTATTTCTTTTACCCTCAGTTTTTGAGGGGAGGTCAGTGTTTTTACATCCATTCATACAATTTCTTTTTTCAAACATCAAATTACTTTGCATCCACTATCACTTTATTTGCAAGTAAATCTCTTTTTAAAGAATGAGGAAGATTGCTATTTTAATTCCAATGAAATATGGAAATGTGCAAAATCCAGGTAGATTGCTAGGATGGTAGCAAAGAGTTCTGGCATTTTTTTCCTTTTTTCATAGAAACAAAGGCTACAACATCACATAGGAGGCTGGGTTCCCCTGACTGAAATGAATGGGATTTGCAATAGGCAGTGGTGTGAGGTTTATATATTCTTTGCTAGAAAATTATTGCATTGTGATACAATTCTGTCATGCATCTACTCAAGAATAATTCCACTGAATTCAATTAAATTTACCCAAGGTATGAAATTGCAGCCACAAGCAATGTTACAAATGAACCTTGATCTCCCAGGAAGACTAGTAAGGTATTAAATGTTCTTCTTCCTAGTAAATGCAATCTCACTGAAGATTGTAAAATTATTACTCATTTATTTTTATCCCTTTATTATTTTTACAAATAACTCAAGGAGGCAAATATATCCAACACACCTCCCTCTTCTTATTTTCCTACAAAACCCTGTGAGGTGAGGTGAGCTGAGAGAGTGACTGGCCCAAAGTCTCCCAGTTGGCTTTCATGGCTAAGGTAGGACTTGAACTCACATTCTTTTGCTTTCTAGCCTAGTGCCTTAATCACTAGATCAAACTGGCTAAAAATATAAAAGATAAAGCTAAAAATATTTTTTATCTTTAACAATACTACTGTGGTGGGATGAGAAATTAATGGTTTTCTCCTTACTCTAAAAAACTGACAAAAAATAAACAATCCTTCCACTCCACATCAAAAAAATTGTTGAAGAATAAAAGTTCTCATTCTTTAAATCTAAATCATTCCCATAGCTTATTTTTAAGATGGATAATTCACTGTCCCCTCATAGACACAATAGCATTTTCTCTAAATTCTTGTCATCTCTCTTGCATTTTTAAATCAGTGATGAAATGATTTTTAGGGGAACAAATTTGTCTTCTTCAAGATGTGCTTTAGCTTTTGATGTCTGCAAAAACACAGTATATCTTCATACTAAATAAGGTCCTTAAAATATGTGTATGTAAATAACAGTAAAAATATAAAAATAACTGTACTAAAAAGTGTTGAGTGATAATAAGATTTAAAGTTCTGATATATCAAGTCATTATTCTGAAATCACATTTTCTAGGAAGTAAAATCATCTTAAGAGTTTTTCTTCTCTGTCTATATGCATACATTTAGCTTTGAATAAAAAAGGTCAAATACATGCTATTCAGTTAAAACTGTAAAAGTCACCTGAACAGAGTGACATATCCAATAAATTTAAGGTCACTTCATTTTTTAAAATATATTTTGATACTAAAATTTACAGAGCTACAATCAAATATATTTTGCCATGAACTCAGGGTATAGTAAAGGAAAATTAATCTGGTTAGGTATCTCTCTTTTTTTAATTATGCCATCTCTTTTCAATGCCTATTAAAGTTTTTGTGTCATGTTACTGCATATGTGGTTATAGTTTTGTATAACACTCAGCTAGAGTTATCAAACAGCTGGCTTATTTTCTACATTTATTATATGGAAGCAGCATAGGAGAAAAAGCTGCTTTCAATCAGTCTTTTAAAAGAAACAACCTACTATAAGCTTTTTACCTTCTACTGCAGTGATACCATCAGCTATTCTGCTTTCATTTCCTATATACTACTTACCGCAATCTAGGACATCTACATTAACCAACAGAATTAAGACAAAAATACTATATAATGTGGGCATTAAAAAAAACAACTTTAAATTCTAGTATTAAATAGGTGCAATTAACGCTAATGAAATGTCTGTAAATAATTTTAAAAGAACGAAATAATTCTGTACAAAACAATTTATTTAAAAAATTAAAATAGGTATTCTTATATATTTATATATAAACTTCTATTGTTCTATAAATATAAATGATTTTGACATAGTGAACAGAAATAAATGTGTACCAAATTGACACAGTTATTCATTTTAGGATATGATTAGTCACAGATTATATTTTTGGCAGGAATGTAAATAAAAAGTTTGAAACGATACATCATTAGAGTAGCAAGTCTGTTGTGTCACAGAAATGATTAAATATGAAAATGAGTTTGCCACTGAAAACTGACACATCTTGTATAAACCTATTACAGAAGTATGAGCTGTAACAGTTTATAGAGAGACTACCAACCAATCATAGACAGTTTTTGCAGATTTACATATAAATGACTACACTGAAACATCAGGCTGTTGATTCTTTCGGGTTTCAAACATTTTTTTCCCCTCCTGGTAGCATAAATCATCATTCTTTCTGGTCAGCTATTAACACAAAGGAATGAAACCCAACAGTTATAAAGATTTGCAGAAATAAAAATGTCAATGTCGAACATATTCAAAAATGCAACTTGCTGAGAGTTTTTGCTCTGTTTATTCCCCCAAACCTTTATTATTGACCACACTGAACTGATTTGCAAAAGCCTTTTCAGCAGTTTTTTTTAGCAAATTCATTAAGGGGGAGGAAAAAATCTACCAAGGAAACATTGCTCACAACAATGCTAATAAATGGGGTATCGAATTACAATTTAAAAAAAGAGAGAGAGAACAGCCTTCTTGCTCACTGCAGTGTTAATAACAACAGCCAAGAGACTTATTTCTACAGAAGATACAAAGCAAATTGTAAGCTCAATATATTACAAAGTTAGGAGAAAAGTTACAGTTCCTTAAAATCTATCAAATATATATGGGAGATGGTAAGAATACTTGACTCCCAGCTATTCTGTTCTGCACCTTCATAGGACACAACTTTAAACATAGCTTAGAAAGCACCCTTTTGCTGGCTGAGTATTTTCTTCCACAACGACAAAACATGTAGTTAGGTGAGACAGTTCTCTTCTGCAAGCTCCTCCCACAATGTTCCTACAACAGGTAGAACGGCTTGTTTTCTTTCCTCTTCAGGTTACACCGAGGAAAGATCAGTCCATTCTTTGTCTGCAGCTGGTGTGCAACACAAATCCCATTAACTGTGCCACCAACAACCTCCTAGGCAGGTTTCCTGAAACCAATGGTTCCTGATTGTAAATGGCTCTAACGCTAGGGTCAATTAAAGTCCTAATTTTGGATTTACAAGAAAAAGGTCTCTTAACTTCTAATTTTTCAATGCTGCACTGAACATAAAATATTTGTTTTCTTGTGTTTAAAAACAGAAAAGTCTGAAAAGGGGAGTTTAAAAAATGTTTTAAATATGTACGAAAAAGCTTTGCAACTTAAATACAAACATACTTACAAAATCTTACAGAGACTATTTACAACAATCTCAAAATCACATTTCCAACTTTCAGGGAAAATTTAATCCAGATGAAGACAAGGGGAATAGTATGTGCCTCTATCAATGTTCTTAGGATCGGTTTTCTGTGGGCTGGGGAGAAAAATTTCTGACCTAGATGATTTCAGGGTGTGTACATTTCTCTCTCTTTCTCTGCTTGCTCTTCCAATCTGGTCAGGCTGCGGAGAAACAACAAAGTTGATGTGTGAACAACAAGCTGATGTTGAACTTCACACTGTAGTTTCTCCTTGTTTGCTGTTGGTAAGTCTGGTATAGAATTTCCTCCAGGAATTGAGTGTTTTTCCAGACCAGATCCAGAAGCCTGAAGTGATTCCCACAATTAGGGTCATGAGATATTTGATCATGAAGACTGTGAAGTCTGGGCTCATTGGGGGGTAATGGTAGTTACTGGGGCAAGGAATGGCATAGCTCTTGCAGCTTTGAGCAAACCAACTCCTTTCCCACTGTTCCCTAAACGCTTGCTCATAAAAATAACAGGCAATCACTATGGTGGCAGGCACTGTATACAGAACGCTGAAGATCCCAATCCTCACCATTAGCTTCTCCAGTTTTTCTGTCTTGGTGCCATCATGCTTCATAATAGTCCTAATTCTGAAAAGAGAAACAAATCCAGCCAGGAGAAAAGAAGTACCAATGAATAAGTACACAAACAAGGGTGCCAGCACGAAGCCACGCAAAGCATCTACATTGTTGATGCCCACAAAACAGACACCACTCAGCACATCGCCATCAACCTGTCCCAAGGCCAGGATAGTGATGGTTTTGATGGCTGGCACAGCCCAAGCAGCCAAGTGGAAGTATTGTGAATTAGCCTCAATGGCTTCATGGCCCCACTTCATGCCTGCAGCCAGGAACCAGGTGAGAGAAAGGATGACCCACCAGATAGAGCTGGCCATACCAAAGAAATACAGCATCATAAACAGGATGGTGCACCCTTCTCGCTTGGTGCCTTGGGCCACAGTTCGGGAACCATCGTCAGAAAAGCGCTCATTACACACCACTTTCTCTTCCAGCAGAAACCCTGCAATGTAGGCCACAGCCACGGCAGTGTAGCACCCCGAGAGGAAGATGATGGGTCTCTCCGGGTAACTGAAACGCTTCATATCCACTAGGTAGGTGAGAACTGTGAAGAGGGTGGAGGCACAGCACAGCACAGACCAGATACCAATCCAGGTACGCGAGAAGCGCAGCTCCTCCTGCCCAAAATACATGAGCCCGTGGGGGCGTCCAGGGTCACAGGGAGCTCCGCAATCTTTCTCGCCCAGGAAGCGGTAATTCAGGTAGGAAGGTACCTTGAGCACCCGGGGGCAGCTGAACCTGCCCGCCCGGTCCGCCAGGTGGCTCCCTCCGCCGCCCCCGCCGCCGGGCCTGAGTTGAGGATTGCTGGTCCAAAACTCGGGTCCCAGAGAGGGAGTGGGCGTACCGCGCTCGGAGTTGTTCTGGCCCACGCAGAGCTCTCCGGCGCCGTGCACGGGGAATTTTTCGCAGCGCAGCGTGTCCGGCCACTGGAAGCCGAACTTGTTCATGAGCGCTTCGCAACCCTGGCGCGCCCGCTCGCAGAGGGAGCGGCAGGGAGGCAACGCCTGCTCCAAAACGGTGCAGACGGGCGCGTACATAGAGCAGAGGAAGAACTTGAGCTCCGCCGAGCACTGCACTTTGACCAGCGGGTAGAACTGGTGCACCTCCAGACCCGCGTCCTCCTGGTTCGTGTGACCCAGCAAGTTGGGCATGATGGTCTGGTTGTAGGCGATATCCGTGCACAGCGGGATGGTAATGGGCTGGCAATAGCCGTGGTCCGGCACGGAGATGCCACGCTCGCCGTTGTACTGCGGCTGAGGTGGCGCCTGGCCCCGAGCCGAGAGCATCGGAGCCTCCGTCCACACGAGCAGCACCGCCAGCAGCAGGAGAAGCCACGGAGAGCGCCCTAGGGCCTGGCTACCCCCTGCTGAAGGCGAGGCTGCTTTGGCTCCGCTGCAAACTTGCCGACTCCACTTCTCGGCCATACTTCGCTGGCTCCTCTCGCCTTCGCTGCCTCGATCGACGACGTTTCCCGGCCCGCCGGGCTGCTGCTGCTGCTGCTGCTGCGCTTTAGATCTCCTGCCAGCGCAAACTTGAGACTCATGAAGGAAAGGCAGGAGGGAGCCAGCTCAGCAGCTGCTGCCGTCGCGCACTCTTCAACTGCGCCGCCAACCCTCTCTTCTCCGCCGGGCAGAGCGCAGAAGATCCAGCTGCTCTTTGCCTCTTGTTGCTGCTGCTGCTGCGGCCGCCGCCGCCTCTTCTTCCGCCACCGCTGCCGCCTGACCATTTGTGGCAATCCCTCAAGCCTTCTCTCCCTCGAACCGGTTTCCAGGCACCCCGCAGTCTGCTTTTCACCAAAAGGGAGGAGCCTTGAAACCGACGCCTAAGTTTGCCTGCGTTAGGGACCGTCGCCCAATATGTCTTCGCGCTTCCGAACGCAGTAGAAGTGCAGGTAGCTGCTACAGAGTAATCCCCCCCCCTTCACTTCCCTTCGTGACCCCGTCCAACTTCTGCGAGACACGAAAAGAGGGACCGGTCGGTTGTGAAAGGAGGTCAAGGCTGACGGGGTTTGCCTTAGAAAGAAGGTGAAAACCTTGGAAAGTTAGCCCCATGCGTTGCAAGCAGCTAATGAATGGAAGGGGTGCGGGGAGCTGGCATGGAAGCAAACTTTTTTTTTTGCCTGAGATTTACACGAATAAATTCATTTTAAAAGGAGAGGACAAGAGGCAACATAAGATTATAGGTAACCTTATGAGTAAAAAGTTAAGAGAGTTTGCAATCCGGAAAGTTTCTGGTATATCGAATGAAATGAAAACCCTAAATATTTTTATTTTAAACGTTTGGAAACTGACTGGGGCAGCTTCCTGCTTGTCCTTCTTCAACGAAATAAAAATGAAACAAATACCTTTTTTTTAAAAAAAACAACTAAGAAACTTTATGGCATGGCTTCTTCCCAGAAATTTAAATTTAAATGACAAATTCTCCCCCTGATTAGAAAATGCATCAGAAATTCCATTAATGAGGACTGAAAGATTCACTTGAATAGATAACTCAGAGAACTAAAGATCCAGCCCTCCCAAAAATACAGGAATAAAGTTTAATATAAAATGGAACCCTATTATGTATTGCATGATGCACAGAATCATAGACTAAGTCAAGCATAGTTTAATCAAGTCTCTTTTTAAAATCCAGCATGCTTGCATTCTTTCCCATTAAAATCCAGAAACTATTGTTCAATAAACAATATCTAAGTATTTACATAGAGACTCAGCTCTTGGGTCTGTCACTAGCATCAGATGTGTCTGAATGCTTTCAAATTTAATAATTTATTAAATTAATATGTCACTCACTGCATAGTGAAATAACTCTGGAATGTGGGAGCTAAGATAGCAAAGCGCAAAGGTGAATAGATTTAGATTACCATTAAAACATATGTCAACTGTCTTGACCTTTGATTGAGTTCATATAATACACCAAACCACAAACTGGATTAGAATTTTAATTTGTTAGCAAACCCATCCTCTTTGGTTAGTTCAATGTGTCACATGATTTCATAAATTTGATTAAGTAAGTAAATATGGGGAAATTAACCATAGGTAAGAATTTGTACAAAGACAGCCTCTGTTTCAAGCATACCCATAAACTTAGATATTTTATAATCAAGGCCAGATTTCTCCAACTTGGAAACCTCCAGGTCTGTTGAGACTAAAAGCCAGCTAGTCCATTCTTTCCAATGACACAGGATGAATGAGAAATCAGGCCATGCCAGCTTGGAATTCTGGGAGTTTCCCAGAATCCAGCACAATACTAAAGATGTTTCATAAGAAGTAGACCAATGTTCTTTAAAGAAGGTTCCTCAAACAACTTGAAGGTGTAATGCAAGCAACTTAAAAAATGTCTTTCGTTTCAAAGTACCTTCATAAAATATAGTAGAAACAAACTGCATTATTAAAATAGGTTTAATTTCAATTATATATATATATATACATATACATACATATATATATTATATATATATATATATATATATATATATATATATATATATATATATTATAAAGGAGGAATAGATTTGGTGATCATCTAGAGCAGGGGTATCAAATTTGATTTCATTGAGGACCACATCATGGTTGTGTTTGAACTTGGGGGGCCAGGGTGGGTGTGGCCAGCTTGACGTCATTTGTGTCATGGGCGCCCTCCTGAGCTCCATTTTCTCTGACAGAGAGTTGCAGGAAGTCGTCGCAGCGGAATTCAGAGCTCAGGAGCCTATTTTCAGTGGCAGAGAGTTCTTTGCTGTTTCCAGGGTGGCCCTGCGGGCCATATCTAAGCACCCCATGAGCTGGATCGCCCCCGAGACTTGAGTTTAACACCACTGATCTAGAGCTATCTCCTTCCCCAGTAGTATTCCTGATAGATGATCATCTAGCCTCTAGTGAAAGGGACTTTGCCATTCCTGTTCCTTTTGTTTCTTTAGTCATAGCTTTCCTATAAGGGAGATGGAGAGATTGTTCATTTGATGTTCCATGCAGGGGTGGGTTCTACTTACCTTTACTACTGGTTTGCAATGGGACCACGCACGTGCACTCACTTCATTTGCTCATGCGTGTGTGCTCTGCGCATGCGTGGAAACTTCCTGATGATGTCCGGGTCAGTGGGTGGAGCCTCCCGCCGGTTTTACTACTAGTTCTTGCGAACCGGTCTGAACCAGGGGCAACCCATCACTGGTTTCATTGTTTGAAAAGTTTGAATGCTGAGATAGACTATTGCAGAGAAAGATGATTGGTGTGTAGTCAGAAATGGCAGAAGAGCCTGTAGTACAGTGGACTAAAGCACTGTGATTAACATCAGCTGCTTGCAATTACTGCAAGTTCGAATCTCACCAGGCTCAAGGTTGACTCAGCCTTCCATCCTTTCAGAGGTAGGTGAAATGAGGACCCAGATTGTGGGGGCAATAAGCTGACTTTGTATAAAATATACAAAAGTATGAAGGCTATTGCTTAACACATTGTAAGCCGCCCTGAGTCTCTGGAGAAGGACTGCATATAAATTAAAGCAAAAAAAAAAAAAGTCATCATGGGCTTATACTTTGGTGCTAGAATGGGTGGGAATTATCAAAATACAGACAGAATTCAGTTCATTGGGCAGAAATCCCATCAGAGGGAAAATTTCAGATGAGATAAATTGGCTCAAATTTATGTGGTGTGCTTCTCAGAGAGATACTGTTGGTAACAATCAGGGGCTTCTACTTTTATCTCTAGGCATGATTTTCTCCAAATCCCCAAATTCCCTGTTGTAATATTTGGAAAAAATATTTCCAAATATAAGCAAGGGACTGATAGTAGGATCCCCTAAAACCCATATAGGGAGGTGGCAATAAAACAGGCCTGAAGTCACACTACTGAACGCAGTAAAGCAAGCATTGGTTGAGGTTATGTTTTTCTTTTGCGGCAGTTGCCCATGATCTGATAAATTTCCCAATCCTTTTTTTCACTTATCTAATTTTCTAGAAAATTAGATTTTCCCTAACACTGTAACTAATTTTCCCTAGCGCTGTATTTTTCCAAGATCACTATTTGTTTATCAACAACAATAATAAATCACGAATAAGAGCATGCATTTCAATAAAATATAGGACTGCATTAATTGTGGAAAGCAATAGAGACTTTTCCATCTTACTTTGACCAAGGATTTGAATCTTGTGCAACAAACATGGAAATAATCTAAATGGTATTACAATAAAATCTGTTAACTTGATATATGCCTTATATCCTGTGATTTTATTTTGAAAGAATAAATAGCTAGAATATTTTTTTATATTATTTAGAGATAAATAATGGAAGGGAAGGGAAGGGAAGGGAACTGAACGGAGGGGACGGGACGGGACAGGACAAAACAGAAAAGAACAGAACGGAACAACAGAATTGGAAGAGACCTTGGAATCTTTTAGTCCAACCCCCTGCTTAGACAATATATAACTTTGTAAATGAATGAGGGAAGATATTGCTGCAGACAGTGAAAGGCACCCCTCTTTTGTACATTTTGTACAGAGAGTTTGGGACTCTAGGAAACTGAATAGATTGGTGTTTCTAATTCTCTTTATTTGATTCAGCATGTTGTTTTTAAATAAGTTCACAAAAAGAACTGGCTTCTCAAATTAAGTGCTTGATAACAAACCAGGTAGTGTTTTGTGCTCCATAAGCAAGTGTCATGTTCACCCTGTCAAAGCCTGTCATTTATAGACCCTCTGGTAATTCAAAACTCTCTTATGATTAATTACAAAGCTACAGTGGAATGATCTGGACCACACAGGAGAGTTTATGGCTGTTTGAATGGAAACACAGTATTGCAAGGAGAGGTATCCCAAATTGTGGTTTAAAAAATGGTCAAGATGGCCTTGCACATAAAAAACAAACTCCAGAACTTCAATCACACTATTGTGGTTGTCATCTTACTGTAGAACTGTCCCCTCCCTTCCGTACATATGCACTATGGATATGAATTCAGAGGCAGATGATATTTTAAAATAGTCTGTTACTGACAAATATAGAAATGGGTAAGAGGTTATTGCTAGACTCAAGGCATGCTGTTTGGATGCAGAAATCATAGGATCCAAAATGTCTAGTTAGTAGTTGGTCTTGCTGTCATGGAAACCAGCTTGGGGGAGATTAGAATAATGAACCAAGGAGACCTTGAGTCAGATCCTCTCTCATCCAAAAAGTTCTGTGTTCATTCTTTTTCCATAGGATTATTCTGCATGAGGGAAGTCCAATGTGAATTACAGTGAATTCATTGGAGGAAGATGAAATTGAAATGTTAACTGAAATTTTGTCTTCAAGACAAAATCTATGTTATAAATTGGGAATGCCACTGAATAGTCTCATTCAGCTGGCAACAGGTTTTGTACGTATGCATTGAACCCATTTTGCTGATTTGTTTTGGGGGATTTGAATGAGCTCTACATTCCATTTGAAATTATTAAGTAATTAAAAAGAATGAGCAAAAAGCAGCTTAACCCCATTTGCATTTTCTTTAAATATAAATTTCATAGAATTCAGAAACACCAATCTCTCACGATGTGGGCATGTATTTGATGGCTATGGCATGCTTTGCCTACTCTTTCATTCTTGTGAAAGGCGCATGAGAAATAAATTATACCAAGACTAAAGTTTTGCAAAGTTTGCAAAGTTGTCCCTTATCCTGATCAAGTCTCATATTTTTAAATATCTGATACAAGCAGCAGCAAAGCTCACTTAAATTATGTAACTCCTAAATGACAACCTTAATCAAAGGTCAACAGTTGATCTTCAGAATGGGTGCTCAGTTGACTCCAGCTGTATTAAAGCTAAGTCATTGTGTGTGGCATAAATAGAAATGC